AATACAGTATTTTTTTTTTTTTTCGTTCCTCGAATGCCTTCAGGGCACTTTTGGCCAGCGGGAGAGGTGTGAGGTTTGAACTCCAGCAACCTGAGGCTGACAGCTTTGTGGAAGCAGCCACTTAAAGGCCTGAGCTAGGGCCAGGCCCCCGCCCATATATATCTTGATTCTTTTTTTACCCCATTCCCCTCTCCTCCCTTCAATCTTTCTTTCTCTGGCTAAAGAGTTTTCAAAACACAGATTTAGAGATCTCTGTTGGTTCTTTTCAAATAGGATAGGTGAACCATTATGTTTTTCTTTGTGATAATAGGAGCATACATTCTTCCTATCTCAACTTCTGCTTCCTTATAAATACAAAAGTAGGAATCACAAAGATATAAATCACATGTTGAAAGTACATAAACATGTGAAGAACAGAAGGGGTTTTGTAGTTGATTAGATGGTTTTTGTAGTTCAATAAATGAAGACTGGCATTTGTAAGATCAGTGTGAATAGTCAGATCTCATTCTTGGTAGCCCCTCACTTGTGTGTACCTAGGTGAGTGTACTTTGTTGGCAAGCTTGGATGATATGGAAAGGCCTCCCAGCCGGTTAGTATTAGTTACCTCAGGGGACACAAGGAAGCTTATTAACTTTTTTTTTTTTTTTTTTAGGTACTGGGGATTGAACTCAGAATCTTGTGCTTGGCAGACAGACACTTAAGCTGCTGAGCTATCTAGCCAGCCCAACTTCTTTTTTATACATTATTTTTTGTTTGGTTTAAGAAGTATGTTTTACTTTTTTAACTAAAATTAATAAAATAGGAAATGAATAAATAATAATAATAATATCCTCAGGGCACAGAGCTTTGTTGTAATCATCCCAATAGCCTGAAATAGAATGTGATATTTTGAGCATGGGCTGTCCACATGGCTGTAGGACTTGTTGGTATAGTTCTAAGATGATAGATAGCAGCACTGTGTTGTTAGGGGTTTCTGTGTTTATTGACCATTTATACTCCAAATTCTTTCTGACATCTGCTGTTCTTGGCACATTGCACTTAAGAGTTATTTTGGACCATGTCTATTCCTTTATGCTTCCTGTTAGATTTTATCTTGCTATTGTTAGTTTGGGTAAGAACTGGCATTGAATTCAGGCCATCTAGTCGCAGATCCTTCCTATTGCTAACTAGTGTGAAAACCTGTCTTTCCAAGCCATCTCTAAAAGAGCAGTAAGGTCTTAGTGTGATGCTGTGTGTCAGGAGGTTTGCTGGGCACCTCATGAGCCTGTTGCTACTAGCACGTTGACCTCATCTCTCCCATCTGCCTACATGTTAGTGAGATAATTTGAGATCTTTCGTCTTCCCCTAGGCATATTCTAAATTCCCCCTGCCATACACATCATCAGCCTTTTGAGCTTTCCTGACAAGATCCTTCTCGCTCTGCAGGTCCTTTCACTGATGTTGTTACCACCAACCTGAAGCTTGGCAACCCAACTGATCGGAATGTGTGTTTTAAAGTGAAGACCACAGCACCACGTAGGTACTGTGTGCGGCCCAACAGTGGGATCATTGACGCTGGGGCCTCCATCAATGTATCTGGTAAGTATGAAAACTGGAGGTCAGAGAGCAGGGCCAAAAGACCCTGGAGACAGTGGGTCTTCTTAAAGCTTGCATTTTCAGTAGATCACCATAAGATGATAGGCTTTTCTCTGCCTCCCCCAGCCTTCTATCCTCATAAAAAAGCTGCGTGGTCCAGCAGGGGCACATAGCTATAATCTCAGCACTTGAGAGGCTGAGGCAGGGCAGTTGCCATCCTGGACTACATACCTAGTGAGTTCAGGTTCAGTCTGAATTATGTAGTGAGACTCTGTCTTTTTTTTCTTTTTTTTCCATTTTTAAAAGTATATTTGGTACAGGGACTTATCTCACTATGTAGCTCAGACGCCTAGTGATCCTCCTGTTTTCAGCTTCCCCAGGGCTAGGATTACTGACATGTGCCACCACACCTGGACTTGATCGCTGGGTTCAACACGCCCCCCAGGGGCCAGGGCCAGTGTGGCGTGTGGGACCCGGGATCGAACCCTGGTCCCTACGCTTGCCACAGCAAGAGCCATAGATTGCTGCTGAACGATCTTGCTGGCCCTGAGACCCTGTCTTAAAAAACAAAAAAACCCTTGGTCTCTGTCACTTGTTTTCTTTTAATTTATGCCTCTTTGTTTTGATGCTTGCAGCTTTTTGAGCCTCAAGAATGCAAAATTAAAGTGGTAACTTTAGACCTGACTTCAGAATAAATTTGGCTTTCACTCCCTTGAAATTAAATCTGCCCTTTGGCAATAAATTTTTAAAAAAAGCTAAACAAACTTAATTTTAGTTTGTGAGAGAAAGCTAAATAGAGTTATTTTCTTATTTAAGCTAAATGATTTCTGACATTAAGCTCGTGTCATTTCCAGTGATTGGTAACTACACTTTACTGATTGTGAGACATTATGGAAGATGAGGGCAGAGCAGATAAAGTACAGGCACGGGTGGAAGTGTTGTTGAAGGCTGTCCGAAGGCTCCCCCCTTCTGTCTGAGAGTGCACATATTTTTCAAAGTCCAACTTTTGAAAATAGGCTGGTGAAGTATCCAAATTGAGAGTTGGGTTTCAGAATTAAGGAAAGGTTATGTAAATGATGGGCTGGAGTTTAAATGTATTTTAAAAATGGAATAAACTTGTAGTTCATTAGAACTTCTAGAGCCAAGAAGGAACCACAGGGAATTGTGTACTTATCCTTTAAATATTAGGTGATTCAATGTCACAGAGGCTTCTGCATCGTTAGAAGCTCCTACTCATTTGAAGTGAGTACCTATCTGGCTTTTTCCATCATGATTTTGATTGCAATGTATTTGGCCATTCATTTGACACCTAAGAGAAAATGATTCACTTCTTTCGAAAGCTATAAGGTGTTTCATTATCTGATCATTTCTGCAAACTTCTACTCCCTGAGCCCCTGGTGTCTCTCATTATGGCACACCATGCCAGCTCTCCCGTGGATGCTCCCTTCACTCGTAAGACCTGCTCTAGATTCTTGAAGCAGGTTCTTGTCCTTGGGCAGTTGAGAGGGTGGAAACCAGAATTGATTGCAGGTTCCTTTGTGCTGGACCTGCACACATTCTGTGTCAGATGTCATACTGTCATCTGCCCCATGCAGGCTGCATTGTTACCTCCAGCTTACCAGCGAGGAGACTTGGTGGTTGCAGGGTTACAAAGCTGACAAGTGGCAAAGCTGAAGCGTGGCACATTCTTTCTGGCTTTAAGGTCCATGCCCTGTGCACTGCAGTGTGCTGCAAGACCGGGCAGTCCCCAGAGTTGGCATTTCTGGATCCATCTGGCTTACGTTTTTCTGTTCTAATCATGGAAGCTGAAATGTTTTTATTTTCTTTTACCTCTTCCCCCTCCCCTCAATTTTCTTGTTCATACCAGATTTGAGCAAGGTGTCAGTAGATAAAAATGAACAGTATTCAAAGTAAATATGAAAAAGCAGTATGGTTTTCTGAACAAAATAATCTCAGAGTTGTATAGGCGTGCCTTTTGGTGTTAAATATAAATATGGGTTCGTCTTTTCAGAAAGAGCATCTCTTTATCAGAGAGATTTTTTAAAAAAAGTAATCACTACTTCTAAGCATTTATTTTGACTTATAATTAACTACTGAAGAAAGGCTAAGATTTTGTGATTCTGGTCTTCCCTTTTCAGATGAGAAAGCCAGCATAGAAAAATGTGACTGGTGAGTGGCAAAGCTGGTGTGTGGAGCCAAGAGTGTTGCTCCTGATCCAGCTCTTGCTCTTTCTGTGATCCTGCCTTGTCTCAGTAGAGTTAGGGGATGACCACATTTACAAGGGGCTCTGAAATGTAAATGTATTCGGTGATAAAATAATTGAATACAGAAATGTCCATGTATCTGTAGGCCTTCCCCCAGATGAGACACAGTTACATTTACACATGAAGAAAGATTCCTTTGTTTTTATTTGGTATTTATCTTAATGTTTGAGGGGGACCTGGGTGAAGCTAGTTGTCAGCGTGTTTCCAGCCCAGCCCTCCCAGCGTGGGAAAGGAGGCTAGCCCCATGGGCTTCATTCACTCTAATGAGCCAAGGGGGCAGCTACATCACTTACTAGATATGTATACCCTAGGATAAAAAATACCATCCTTGTCCAAAGCTTCTCTTGAAGTACAGCCGCATGATGACACAGTAGTGAGTCAGAGTTCAGAGGCTCCTTTAGAGAGGTGTCCCCAGGAGTGCATTTCTAAGGGCCACCTTTCCCTTCTCCCCAGGAGCACACACAGCAAACTGTGGCTTTACACACACTGCTCAAAGTTCACTGAACTTGAGGCCAGGAATCTAGAGCAGGAAGCTCAGCTCTTCTTCTTACCCAGTTGCTGATTTTCGTCTGACGTGTTAACCTCTGTAGGTTCTACTTTTCTCATTGTAGAATGGGGGAAATAGCATTCATCTCAAACAGTATCTACTGGTATTACATTACTGAAAATGTGCATGAGTGGGATTGTGTTATTTTACCAGTTTTTTAAAAATTGGCTAGGTTTTGTTGAACATGGATAACATATTTGAATTACCTTTTTAGGAACAAGTTAATCATGTGCATTTTATTAATTGATGAATCTTTTTGAAGACAGTATTTTTTCGTAGCATAGGTATCTTTTATATTTTTTTTATTTAATAAAGATCTTTTATTGTCTCATTAAAATATCAGATTAGCTTTACAATCCAGAAGCTTGTTTCTGCGGCTGGATTAACTCTTGGGTCTTACTCATTTGGCTGCTGAACTGTTCCCTTTTCAGAAACATAGATACCATCCAAAAATTTTCTGATATCCTTGTTTTTGACTGTTGTGGCTTGCTGAATCAAAGCAGCTGAATTTGAAACAAGCTCAATGTCATTTCCTTCAAGGATTAGTTCATCTTTCTGGGCTTGAGATACCGAGCAAGCAACACCTGCCCTCATACGAACTCGGCGAATGTATTTTTCACCCAAGAAATTCTGAATTTCAACGAGAGACCCATTCTCCTGAATAACGACGTTGATGGGGAAGTGAGCATACACAGACCTCATCTTGTAACGGAAGCCCAGTGTAACCCCCTTGATCATGTTCTGTACATGGCTACAGATCGTGCGGACAGTTGCCAACTCCTTTCTGTTTCCCCACCATTTGTCAACTCGGAGCCTCTTCTTTTTCTTCCCAAGGAGACTGAGTTCCACATTGATGTGGTTGAAGTCCCTCCAGAGGGTTCCTCTGGGGCCCTTCACAATAACTGTGCGTCCTTTCAGAGTGATGTCGACATTTTCTGGAATGTCGACTGTCTGATTGCTAAGAATGGTCTTCATTCTTGCGGGAGATGCGGCCAGGTATCTTTTATATAATGAGAAGTTATAAGTAAATTTTCAAATATAATTTATAAAAATGTAGCCATCAGATTGATTTAAAATACTATTGGTATCTCCCTGTTTACCACACAGAATGTTACAACATGCTTGAAAAGGACATGACTAGTGTATTTCTTCCCCTTCAGAAAATCCTTGGGATGTGGTAGCTACTAAGGCAGGTTACAATTTTTTCTTTTGAAGGAAAATTGATGGGAGGGAAGATAGGAAAGAAAAAAGAAAAGGATGATGATGATGATACCTGCCCATGGAGACGGAGGTTTTTAAAGTATGCAGATCTGTTTGGATTGTGGAAGGCAGATTCATACTTTATAAAACTCTTCTCACCTTTCCAATTAACCTGATACTCAAGAGACCTTACATTATGCTTCAGAAGTTCAGGCTCTGACCTGTCCTGCTATTTTCATCAGATCATGATAAATCACTTACTTCCTGGGTGCCTTTAAAAAAACAAAAACAAAAACACCCCTCCCTTTTGTAAACTCAGGTAGTAAAGCAAGAGCTAGAGAGAGACATAGTGTAAGGTTTTTGTAACAGTGGAGTAGAATGTGTGTGGATGGACCCTTTGCCTCATGGTTTGGAGTCCATTTGGTAACTCCCTGTACAACCTGTGCTTGTAGGAGGCTGCACAGTAGGTGAGGAGCCAGGTGCTCTCTGTAGTTATTGGCCCAGAGTGCTATAGTTTTGGCTTTTGCTCCTCAATACACATCACGCATTAGAGCTGGCTTTGAATTATTCAGATCTGGACCTCAGAAGAATAGGCACACTTAAATGGAGATTGTAGCAAGGAGATTGGATTTTCCCCCCGGAGCTCTTATGTGCAAGGAAAATAAAACTTTTTGAATTAATGAATTGTTTGAGGCAGTGGGAGGTCTCTAGCTTTATAAAATTTTTTCTAGCTTTACAAAATTAAGTATATTTTTGAACTGTATGGTAGGAGAACATTTTTAAGGTATTTTCTGAAAATGTCTTTGTGGTAAGCTCTTGGTGGTTTTGGCATTTCTTTTTAATGCTGCAGTTTAATAATGAGGGAGTTTTCCATTAATATTCTAAACCACGTTCACTGGCAGATACAGCAGGTGAGGTGGTAAAATTATGGGCCCATCAAAAATACTTACGCTTCCTGTAATACGATATTAAGTTTAATATTTTTATAACCT